TGAAAGTCCAACAAATGGCTGCTAAAGTTCAACCCGAGTAAATGCAAAGCAATGAAACTAGGCGGTGGAACCAGGAGGCCAGACACAGGATACAGAATAGGAGATGAAGTACTTCATGAAACGAACAGAGAGAAAGATCTAGGAGTTGATATCACACCAAACCTGTCTCCTGACGCCCACATCAAAAGAATTACGTCTGCGGTATACTCGAGGCTGGCTAACATCAGAACATTCTTCAGGAACCTGTGTAAGGAATCATTCAGAATCTTGTTTACCACATATGTACGACCAATCCTGGAGTATACGGCCCCAACATGGAGCCCTTACCTTGTCAAGCACAAGATGAAGCTGGAAAAAGTTCAGAGGTATGCCACTGGACTAGTCCCGGAACTAAGAGGCATGAGTTACGAGGAAAGGCTGCGAGAAATGCACCTTGCGACACTGGAAGACAGAAGAGTAAGGCGAGACATGATCACTACCTACAAAATCTTCAGGGGAATTGACAGGCTAGATAAAGATAAACTGTTTAACACGGGTGGTACGCGAACAAGGGGACACAGGTGGAAACTGAGTACCCAAATGAATCACAGGGACGTTAGAAAAAACTTTTTCAGTGTCAGAGTTGTTAACAGGTGGAATGCATTAGGCAGAGATGTGGTGGAGGCTAACTCCATACACTGTTTTAAATGTAGATATGACAGAGCCCAATAGGCTCAGGAATCTGTAAACCAGTTGATTGACAGTTGAGAGGCGGGACCAAAGAGCAAAAGTTCAACCCCGGCAAGCACAAATAGGTGAGTACAAATAGGTGACTACACACACACACATCCACTGGAAGCTGCCCGTTCCAGCTGTCTAACTCCCAGACACCTATTTACTGGAAGCTAAACAGAAGCACCAGGGTGCAAGAAACTCTGATTCTTTGTTTCTACCTCGGCCGGGGATCGAACCCGGGGCCTTAGGACTACAGGCCTGGGTTTATCTATACAATAAAGTCAACCTTGGGTCGAGAACGATCTGGCAGCGTTGCCATGATCATTCTTGTAAACATTTAAACTCTTTAATAAATATAGTCCTTGAAAACATGATTGTAAACAGTTTAATATATATAAACTAAGAAAGCATGATTGTAAACTGTTTAATATAGACTTAGAAAGCATAATTGTACACTGTTTAATATAGATTTAAAAAGCATAATTGTAAACTAATTAATAAATATTTACAAATAAAATTATGATTGTAAACTGTTTAATAGACTTAGACAGCATATTTGTAAAATGGTTTAATAAATATTGATTTAGGAAGCATGATTGTAAACTGTTTAATGAATACAGACTTAGAAAGCATGATTGATAAAATACGTGCATGTTTCGTAAATGGATATGTAAATGCTTAGTTTACCTGAATTTAACTGAAAACCACCAACTCTACTGGCCTTGACGGTGACAAGAAGTCGGTTGTTTGTCAAAGATCCCACCATTATTCTTGAGGATATATTTAACTGATATTTAAGCCGGAGTATTGTTTTGGTATTTACGGTTGAGGTGGGTAGGTGGTTCCATGGGTTCATAGGCCAATGCCTAGGGGTGTGAACTGGTTTTTCTAAATGTGTCTGTTAGTCTATGAGTTTGTTCGAGTGTGTGGGCCTGTTAGTCTGATGGAGGGTGTGGGTCTGTTATTCTGTTCGAGTGTGTGGGTCTGTTAGTTTGTTCGAGTGTGTGGGTCTGTTAGTTTGTTCGAGTGTGTGGGTCTGTTAGTCTACTCGTGTCGGAAATCCGACACACATAATAACATAGTATCCCCTTAGAGTATCCCCTTAGAGATAGAGAATGGGTGATTCCGTGACGTCATCAACGACGCAGCCCGAAGCCTGGAGAGGAACCAGGCTTACGCTCCTAACTCGAAGAGACAGGTGTTCCAGTAACAACGTACCGGGCGACAGACTCAGTGGTCTCAGCAGGAGAAGAGGAACGGGAGCGAACAACACAAAGATTGCTGGGAGGATGATGGACATCAGCCTGGACAGACAGGCGGCATGGAGGGTCAAGAGACTGGGGAAAGGGTTGGGAAGAAAGAGTGGGGGGAGATGGGAAAGAAGAGATAGAAGACATGGTGGACTGGGCAGGAAGGCGGGAAACTCCAGGTGGAGAACCAGGAGGGAAACCTTTTGGGACATGACACAAAGGAATAGGGGAGGAGGTGGAGAGCGTGTTCGGGTCTAAGGCTTGGAAACGGTTGTTTGTGAGACTGAGGAAGGTGGGACAGACGAGCTGAGGTAGAATGCAACACGCGAGTGTAGGATACACCTGCGAAAGGGGTGAGACAACGAACTTGGCGTCTCGTTTCGGGAAAAGTCAGACGATCACGTTGTTTCAAGTTAAGGACGGTTTCCTCGAGTTTGTAGTATATACACGAGCGTGATAAGATAGGGTGGGCCTCACCGCAATTGAGGCAGCGAATCTGGGAAGAAGTGCATTCGGACTTAGAATGATCATCGGCCCCACACATGGGGCATAGATACACAGTACTTGTGCACTTAAGGATACGGTGCCCAAACTTCCAACACTTATTGCAAAGTCTAGGAGAGGGAATGTACTCCTGAACGGAGCATCTGGCACCTGCAAGAATAATAGAGGGCGGAAGGGCCTTACTATTAAAGGTGATTTTTACAACTCGAAGGGGCTGACAACGACGACCACGAGGGGGTCGAGCAAACGTGTCCACATGGAGGACAGAATGGCCCTGGGTTTCGTGGATATGTATAAGGTCCCTAACACCAGTTGCAACATGGTGTGGGAGGAGAACAGTGCCAACACTGGCATTTAACCTAGCGTTTTTGGAGACCCGAACAGGGGTCTCTCCAATGCAGGACAAAGCGGCTAAGCGAGTAGCTGCATCCTGAGGAGCAGCATCAACGACATGCGTACTGTAATTGGTGGGGTTAAAAGTAACAGAGGCATCTACTGAATCAACAAGGTGTTTATGGAGGGAGAAATCGTCAGGAGGAGTAGAATCCAGATGGAGGAGATCAAAGTATTTATCCCATGTAGTGGGACCAAACAAGGGTTTGTAAGTACTAGTATGGGAAGGGATTGTGCGAGTGCGGCAGTGGCGGGGACGACGTTGAGAACCCCCAGAGTGAGAAGAGGTAAAAGGAGCAGTAGTCACAATGAGAGACGGAGCCGTGCCAGGAGACGAGGTGGTCACCACTGGGGGCTGGGAACTCAAGCCTACCACAGAGGAGGGAGGGGAGCTGAGGGGAGTAGTCAGGAGGATCAAAGGAGGAGCAAGGTCGGGGCCCAATGCAGCGGGGGCTACAGGGCTTGGTCTTCCAACACGGTCTGACTCGGGGGCTTGGTCGCCCACCCCACGAGCCTGAGAAGGTACAAGGGAAACATTATCTGCCATAGAAATGAGGAAAGACTTTCATTCACGAATGTGCCTCCACACCCACCATGAAGCCACAACTAGAGGCAGGACACTCAATAAGAAGATATCGCCGATCATGCCGGGGCATCCCAGGGGTGCGTCGTGAGTATACGCCCCACAAACGACACCTTAAAAACAGTTAGTCCGTCGAGATCGGGTACAGTGACGAAAGGAGGATGGACAATAACAGTTTCCCCTTGTCCTCGACGTTGGGTACTAAAGTTCTACGGGCGCAAGAGTATGCCTGCCCAAGTACCCGAGCGTCAAGATAGAAAAAGTCCAAAAGAATAACCAAAACCAGCAAAAGGTCGGCAGGAAACGACAAGCAGATAGAAGAAGAGGGGGAGAAAAACGAAACATAAGGAAAAGGAAAAGCGATCCAGCACAATTGGAGAGGACAGCAGCAGGAGCACAAGGCCATAAAAGGACAGAAGACTGTCCCATGGAGCATCACACTCCGGTAGCCGACCACCAAGCCCCCCCCCCCCCAATGGTGCCTACGGGCCGGATGGGGAGGGGGGTGTAGGTCTGTTAGTCTGTTCGAGGGTGAGGGTCTGTTAGTATGTTCGAGGGTGTAGGTCTGTTAGTCTGTTCGAGGGTGTAGGTCTGTTAGTCTGTTCGAGGGTGTAGGTCTGTTAGTCTGTTCGAGGGTGTGGGTCTGTTAGTCTGAGTGTGTGGGTCTGCTAGCTTACGACCTTTTCTTTTTTTTACTTCTTAGTTTCTTAAATCTTATTTAATACAAATTTCTTACCTTCTTACCTTTTTAGCATCATGTTTTTTAACTTTTTCCTACTTATTAAGACATAAGTCTGTATGGGTCACAGTCCTTCAGTCTGGTGTTGCCCAGGCTCCTGAGCAACGCACAAGTCGCTGGTGACTATGACCGAAGGGAAGAACACTGCACTCAGATAATATCAGATTTTCCAGAACAAAATATTAATTGGATATCATATAATATTTAATGATGTGGTAGAAACAGTCTCAAGTAACTTCTTGGTTTACCCTCACATAAAGGACTTTGACGGTATTAATTTAATAATCTTCATCAAATTATTTCAGGATAAGATTAGAAACCAGCGACAGCTGTATTGTTTCAAGAGTACATTAGACATTCATATTAGTAACTTCGGAAAATATAAATAGGAGAAATCTCAAAAAACTAATATGCTAATCTCCGTCAGTTTGTGGGCCACTCCAGAACGTGAAAGTGATAACAACGCACAAAGTAATCACATAAAAGGGATGTTAATGTGATTTCTCTGTGCATTTGAAGAAAGGCGCTGGGGTGGAACTCCAATACCATCGCCAAACGGTATGGGGGGCAATGCGCGTGAAACCATGATTTGTTACCAGAAGATTCCTCAGGAAACCTAGAGGATTCAGTCGAATCCCAGGTTACATTTCTTTTAACATATCGTGGTTTAAGACGTGTATTTTGGAGCGCCCAGTGCACAACTTCGAATTCTTCTCATGGCTCCTACTATTTTTCTCATTGATAACAACAATATAGTCTCCCATAAGTCGTGGGCCGTCCAGGAACGTGGCAGTAATAGCAACATTGTCTCCTTCAGGTCGTGGGCCGCCAGAGAACCTGGCAGTGGTAGAAGGACTGATCAACGCTCTCAATGTGTCATGGGATCCGCCAAGGGAGGAACCTTCTTATTATAGGGTAGAAGCTGGATCTAATAACGAAATTACACACGATACCTTCTTCTTTATAGAAGGACTGCAGCCTTGTACACATTATAGTATTACCGTTACCTCTATATACGAAGGCAGCGGTCAGACCTACCCTGCTTTTACGGACGGCACAACAGACATATCAGGTAATTCCAGCGGTGCTCTAGTGCCAGAAATTCTGTTAGTTTTTATTGCTCTTTAGTTTGAACAAGATGCATTTAACGTTTTTTATTATTTTATGTATTTTTAATTATATATTTTCTTCATAATCCTTAACAAATATTACCAAAACAAGAACCCGTCCTCAGCAAATGTGAATTACTACCAGCGGCCGACGCCAAGACGCATTCATAAACCCTAACAGGTTGTTCCTTCAAAATATAAATTTTTCCGAATATAAATTCAAATTTTTAAATATTATTATATTGTGCATATTTAGGCAAAGGTTAGGTTAGTTGTTTAGGTTCTGTTGGCGATTATATGTATTAGCCAATTCATCCTCCAGCCTCAGCAATAAGTATAGTACTGACTTAGATTTGAGTAATTTAGTGCAGTTTTTGACATATTCGTAGACAACCTACTGACTGGATGAATCTTCCATACTCTATAATTAGAAACTTTTGAATGTAAATTAATATTAGAATACAGTAAGGGTTTATGTATAGTTAGGTCTACGTAAGGTTTGGCAAGCTTTTTTGGTTATGGTGATTTAGTGAGTGTTTACACATCAGGGTGAAAGTGCAACTCGAACTTGGTGCTGTTGAAAATGAAAAATGGTTTACACACACACGGCTCAAAACTGATGACGTCCGAACGATAACGGAACAAGAGGCTCGCTGACTACTTTTGTTCGAATCACAATTATATATCTATCTTGAGGTTATCTTGAGATGATTTCGGGGCTTTAGTGTCCCCGCGGCCCCGGTCTTCGACCAGGCCTCCACCCCCAGGAAGCAGCCCGTGACAGCTAACACCCAGGTACCTATTTTACTGCTAGGTAACAGGGGCATATAGTGAAAGAAACTTTTGCCCATTGTTTCTCGCCGGCGCCTGGGATCGAACCCAGGACCACAGGATCACAAGTCCAGCGTCCTGTCCGCTCGGCCGACCGGCTCCCTAACGCTAGAAATTCTTCATCCACGTACTACAAATACAAATAATCGCCAACTGAACCTAAACACCTAACCTAACCAAAGCTAAATATGCACAATATACTATTATATAACAACATTAATTTATATATGAGAAAATTCCTATTTTGAATGAACAGCAATACTACATGTTAAAATTAATGAATGCGTCTTTGGGGTCGACCGCTAGATGGAATGGACTTGGTCTGTGGACGGGTTGGTTGACCTGCTACCAAACAGAGAATAAGCCTTCCGTTTCCAATAAGAAATTAAATCTCGGCTTCCAAGCTTCAATACACAAAATATACCATAACTATTGGAATGATGGTTGGCAGCCGGGCTGACCCTCACTATTTTCCCGCAGTACCACCGGCACCACCGAGCTGTTGGTTTGACCACATTGATACCACCTCGTTAACTGCCTACTGGAGTGATCCACCCTTTCAGTGTCCACTTACCAACCACAACATTAGTTGGAGGTCACATGTCCTCTGGGATGACGAGGAGGACACCTCAGGTGCCGTCCGAGTCCCAGGAGACCACTACACACTAAGAAACCTCAGACCCTACACAAAAGTGACGGTCAGTGTGGCAGCCGCCACTGACGCAGGTTATGGCCCTTCCACATCTTGCTGGAATGTGACGCTTCAGGACAGTGAGTTACCTTTATATTGTTAGTTATTATTGTTGTTGTTGTGCTTGTAGGGTATCAGAACAAAGCTGAATATCTTCATCTATGGACAAGAGGTCAACACATCCTTAGTGATGTGGGTCACATCCCTGGTGGTGTGGGTCACATCCCTGGTGATGTGGGTCACATTCCTGGTGATGTGATAGTTATGGCTACTGAGGAAGCAGTACGACTCTGTTTTAAGTGAGCCATTAAACGCACTAAAGATTGATAACCCAAATGAATTTTTCATGGATATGATACCAACATCAAATCATATATCAGACGTCACCCTATCCCCTCTGGATTTTGAAGAAGCCATAAACAGTATGCCTACGCACTCTGCACCAGGCCCGGATTCTTGGAACTCCATATTCATCAAGAACTGTAAAAAACCACTATCGCAGGCCCTCCACATTGTGTGTAGACAAAGCCTAGATACTGGCGTTATTCCTGATATACTAAAAACAGCAGAGATAGTACCACTTCATAAAGGAGGAAATAAGGCAGAGGCAAAAAATTACAGACCGATAGCACTAACATCGCACATTATAAAAAAAATTGAGAGAGTGCTAGGAAGTAAGATCACAAAATACATGGAATCACAGCATCTCAATAACCCCAGACAACATGGTTTCAGAACAGGGCGCTCTTGCCTGTCGCAGTTGCTGGACCACTATGATATGGCATTAGATGCTATGGAAGACAAACAAAACGCTGATGTAATTTACACAGATTTCGCAAAAGCTTTTGATAAATGTGACCATGGCGTTATTGCACATAAAATGCGTTCAAAATGAATTACCGGAAAAATAGGCAGATGGATCTACAATTTCCTGACCAACAGAACCCAATGTGTAATAGTCAACCAAATAAAATCCAGCCCATCAACCGTGAAGAGCTCAGTCCCCCAGGGTACTGTGCTTGCTCCAGTACTATTTCTCATCCTCATATCGGACATAGACAAGAACACAACCTATAGCACTGTATCATCCTTTGCAGATGACACTAGGATCTTCATGAGAGTAGGCAACATAGAGGACACGGCAAACCTCCAGTCAGATGTAGATCAGGTCTTTCTATGGGCTACAGAAAATAATATGGTGTTTAACGAAGATAAGTTCCAGCTCATGCGCTATGGAAAAAATGAAAATGTAAAAACGGAAAACACATACAAAACTATGCAAATCGTAACATAAAACGAAAAGGTAATGTAAAGGATCTGGGTGTACTCATGTCGGAAGACCTTACCTTTAAAGAACACAATAAAGTAGCCGTCACAACTGCAAGAAAAATGACAGGTTGGATAACAAGAACTTTTCACACTAGAGATGCTATACCGATGATGACACTTTTCAAAACGCTTGTGTTCTCTAGAGTGGAGTACTGCTGCACAATGACAGCACCTTTCAAAGCTGGAGAAATTGCTGACCTGGAAAGTGTGCAGAGATCCTTTACTGCTAGAATCCACTCAGTAAAACACCTAAACTATTGGGACCGTCTAAAGAGCCTAAATCTGTACTCCCTTGAGCGCAGGCGGGAGAGATACATAATAATTTACACGTGGAAAATATTAGAGGGGCTGGTCCCAAACCTGCACACATAAATAATATCACATGAGACCAGAAGACATGGCAGGATGTGCAGAATACCCCCGTTGAAAAGCGGAGGTGCAACAGGTACTCTGAGAGAGAACTATCAACATCAGAGGCCCGAGACTGTTCAACACGCTTCCGCTACACATAAGGGGCATAACTGGCAATCCCCTCACAGTGTTCAAGAGAAAACTGGATAAGCACCTCCAAAGGATACCTGATCAACCAGGCTGTGACTCATACGTCAGGCTGCGAGCAGCCGCGTCCAACAGCCTGGTTGATCAGTCCAGCAACCAGGAGGCCTGGTCGACGACCGGGCCGCGGGGACGCTAAGCCCTGGAAGCACCTCAAGGTAACCTCAAGGTCAAGGTATGGCCCATGGTTCTTTAAGGCTCACGTGTCTCTTTGCTGTCCATCAATATCCTTCTTGATTGATTGATTGATGAAGATTAAGCCACCCAAAAGGTGGCACGGGCATGAATAGCCCGTAAGTGGTGGCCCTTTTGAGCCATCACCAGTATCAATAGATAATACTGGAGATCTGTGGAGGTGCGACTGCACCCTGCGTGACGGGAGATGTCTCCCATCATCCTTCTTGTCGATTGATGATTGATTGATGAAGATTAAGCCTCCCAAGAGGTATCACGGGCATGAATAGCCCGTAAGTGGTACAATTTTTTTTTTCTCAGTATTCTGAGTTTGCATTTAACCATCAAGTTGTTATCGCGGGGGAAGATACTGCTTGACAGTCTTTATGAGGGTGTCCAGCTGCTGGACACCTTTGTTGACCAGGAGAGTGGCTGTGTTGATGGCTTCAGGGTGGCCACTGCATGATTCAGGAACTCTTAAAGCTCTTCTAAGGTTATTGGTTGCTTCACATTCCAGAAGATAGTGAAGTAATGGCTTTTCTGTGACAGTTTGGCAGAAGATGCACTCTGTCGGGGTTCACCAATCTCCCAGTTGCATCTGTAACCTAGACGTAGTCTATATAACCTAACTTCTATTTCCCTGTGGATTCCTTTTGGGATATTTAACCTTTCTAATTTGGTTGCCTGAAGATACCATGTTGCAGATGGCGATCCTTCAGCTATTCTCTGGTGCAGGTAGGCTTTGTTGAGATGTGAGAGTTTTTTGGTGATGATGTTTTTTATGTTCTCTAGGCTGGTTGAATTGTTTTATGTATCACTGGATGACGAGTTGCCAATTTAGCAATTTCATCAGCTTTTTCATTTAATGGGATTCCAATATGGGATGGTATCCAGTTTAAAGTTATGTTGAGTCCTTTGCCTTTAGCGACTGCTCCAAGATACAAAATGGTGGTAATTATTTCCACATTATCTTTCCACTGTTTTTGTCCTAGTATTTGAAGTGCAGCTTTTGATTCTGTGTGTATGATTGCATTTTGAGCTGCCGTAACACGAGACTTACCAAGGGTTACACGAGGCTTAACAAGTGTTACACGAGACTTACCAAGGGTTACACGAGGCTTAACAAGTGTTACATAAGACTTAGAAATGGCTACTTACTAAAATATAATTCTTCACCATCTGCGTCCTAAATATTTCAGCATAGTGGCTGGGGATCTGCATGCCTTAATTTTTGTATTACAGTACTCAGCAGAGCACAATAAATGGCATCATTTAGGACAACAATGGACAAAGAACGTGCATATATGACTTGAAGGTATATACTAAATTTTAATGTTTGCTGAGGGATATTATCGGCCCCACGCTTGTAATGGTAATGATGAAAAATGACTAAATTTCATGTGTATATTCCCTCACCAGTACCTGGAGCTCCAAAGATCACGAACGTCACGTCGTATGAACGCTCCCTGTACGTCTCCTGGTCACCGCCTGAGGAGGCAAATGGAGTGATCTTACAATATGTGATCAACATTGAAAATGATCATTTTAAGAGCAAGGAAAATGTGACTGGAAGTGTCTATACTGCTACGTTCAGTGACATACCTGCCTGTGACTCGTATGACGTCACGGTCCACGCTACCACCGAGGCAGGGGCGGGACCTGCGTCTGGAAGTTGGAACATTCAGCAAAACGGCGCAGGTAAGTAAAGAAGATTATTACTTGCCATATTTACAAAAAATTATGTATGTACGTCCTGATCCACAGCAGCTCCGTATTGCAGTCGCTCTCTGCCTTGCTGCCCCTATCCACACTGTTCATAGGTGTATTTGCCGTGAGGCAAAAGCCGACGAATATGTACTGCATGGTCTGCGCTGTGGAATATCTGGCGGCACATGACAAAGTCAATTACATCCTTAAAAAGAGCCTTGCCTTTGCCCAGTTTCCAGCAAAGCGAGAGAGCCCTGCAATCTGTTGAACAGTAACTCTGCTATCTTTACCGGCCGACTGGATGGAATCACACTGTGTCCTTGGAAGGGTGGCAGACAGTAGGCGTGAAAATATACTTGCGTATCCACCCTGGCAACCACATACACTTACCTCTGTCGGCCAACCAGGAGCTGCAACAACACACAGAGAAAGAGACAAGTCAACCAAGTACAGGAAAGTAGATCATCTGTACAACTTCTTTCCAATGGAATCTGAGACCCTAGGTCCGTGGGAAGAGAGTACAAAAAGGTTTCTTTAGGATCTTGGTTCCAGGCTCATTGACACTACCAATGATCCTTGTACAGCAAGTTTTCTCTTAAAGCGCTTCAGCATAGCTATCCAGAGAGGAAATGCCCGCTGCGTCAACGGTTCCTGCCCGGCGTCAAGGGAGTTCAAAGAAATCTACAGGCTCTAAAAACTTCCCCGTCTTTACTGTTAATGTTCTATTTTTGTAAACAATCAGATATATAACTGAATAACCTTGTGAAATAAAGTGTACAATATGAAAAAGGGAGTGGTAGGAGACGTGAACACTCATACGTATTCAGAGTTATATGTCAAGTTTTTTTCTGAATGCTCTTTATACCCTCTTTTGACTCTGTGGGTCCCTGCAATTGCATGAGAAGTAGTACCCCCCTTTCATATATATACATATATATATATTTTAGCATTTTATCAAATCGCCTCATTCTTTGGGGCACACGTGAGGAACACAAATGCGAACAAGCCTGAATAGTCCCCAGGACTATATGCGACTGAAAACTCACACCCCAGAAGTGACTCGAACCCATACAGCCAGGAGCAACGCAATTGGTATCTACAGGACGCCTTTTCAGTCGCATATAGTCCTGGGGACTATTCAGGCTTGTTCGCATTTGTGTTCCTCACGTGTGCCCCAAAGAATGAGGTGATTTGATAAAATGCTATGCCCAAGATTACCATCCGAGTGCCGGCGGGGAAGTGGTTCAAATAGCTTCGGTTATCACTTCTTTATGTCCAGTCGTGATGGTCAAGCGGATTAAGGCGTCCTGTAGATACCAGTTGCATTGCTCCTGGCTGTATGGGTTCGAGTCACTTCTGGGGTGTGAGTTTTCAGTCGCATATAGTCCTGGGGACTATTCAGGCTTGTTCGCATTTGTGTTCCTCACGTGTGCCCCAAAGAATGAGGCGGCTTGATAAAATGCTATGCCCAAGATTACCAAGATTACCAAATCATTCCTTCTGAAGATGTATTTAATATACGAAAGTACTTAAGGAAATTCCTGTTTCATTTTCCTCCGTGGTCTGACATTGTCTCATATATATACAATATATATATATATATATATATATATATATATATATATATATATATATATATATATATATATATATATATATATATATATATATATATATTTAGGGGGGTACCACCTCTGGTGCAATTATAGGGACCCACAGCCTCAGAGAAGGGAACACAGAGCAATCAGGGAAAAACTTGCCATATAACTGAATATGTAAGAGTGTTCGCTTCTCCTACCACCCTCCTTTTTTTATGGTGTACACTTTATTATGCAAGGTTATACAGTTACATATCTGATTTTATTCAAATAATTAACATTACGAGGACACAAAAAAAAAGTTTGCTTCCTAGAGGCTGTAGATTTCCTCGAACTCCTCCGACGCCGGGCAACAACCGAGGATGCAGCGAGCATTCCCTCTCTGTATCGCGACACTGAGGCGCTGAAAGAGAAAATTTGCCGCTCTAGGGTCTCTTGTGGTGTCAATGAGCTTGGAACCAAGATTCCTAAGAAACCTTCTTGCACTCTCTCCACATAGGCCTAGGGTCTCAGACCCTATTGGAACGAAGTTGTACCGATGATCTAATTGCCTGTACTTGGCTGACTTGTCTCTTTCTTTGCGTGTCGCCGCGGCTCCTGCTGTGCCGGCAGAGAGGTTGATGTATGTGGTTGCCAGGGTGGATACACAAGTACAGTCCCATGCCAACTGTCTGCCACCCTTCCACAGACGCAGTGTGATTCCGTCTGGTCGGCCGGCAAAGCTAACAGAGTCACGGTTCAGTAGGTTGCGGGGCTCTCTCTCCGCTGGACACTGAGCAGAGGCAAGGCTTCTTTTAATGATGTCATTGACTTTGTCGTGTCTAGTGTGCCAACCACCAGATTTTCCACAGTGCAGGCCATGCAATCCATATTCGTCAGCATCTGCCTCGCCACAAATACACCTATGAACAGTGTGGATAGGGGCAGCAAGACGGAGAGCGACTGCAATATGGAGCTCCTGCGGATCAAGACGTGTGCCTGTCGCAGACATAGGGACTGCCAAAAGAAAGTCCCCTGCATGGGGAGCCTGCACAGCTGTGAGGCGTGCACGATCACTGGGGGTTGTTGCTGCCTCCAGCAAAGCTGTGGCTTCTTTGTTTACAATGGGGCTGTCCCAGCTGGATTATTTCTTGGCTTTCGGCATGGCTGGATCTGAGTGCTGGGTCTGCCATGGCACCCCATTTCGTGTCGCATTCTGTGTAGTGGGGGTCTTGTTTCCCCGCTACATCACTCAGGGTGTCAGGCAGAATTTCCTTAACCAAGTCATCTGATGCTGAGGAGGAAGACAGGAAGGCTGGGACAGCAATTTGGGGGGCGGTGCAGACACCCAAGCCACCGAGCCTAACAGGAAAAGTGGCTTGTTTCCACTGGCATTCGTTGAGGGAGAGGTTAACAACTTTTTCCAGCATGGTCTTCAGTAAGAGGTCATACTCTTCAAGCTTTCGGCTGTCGTAAGATGGGGCGCACCTCAGAAATTAGGTTAGCCTCGGAAGGGATAGGCATTTGGTGAGGAGATAAAAAGCATCGTGGGCATCGATGTCACCTATTCTGTCTTCCATCCTCCTAAGGTCTGCGATTTTCTTGTCAAGGATCTCCTCAATGGCGTTAGACCCGAGGGGGGCTCCAAGGAGTGTGCTGTTCTCGGCCCTAATGACATGGGCTCCAGGCAAGGCAGACCTTATTCTAGCTACGATGTCTGGGTTGGAAGAGACTACATCACACTTGGAAGGGTTCAAGACGAGACCCAGGCTTACTTCTTGCTCCCTTATTTTCCTGACATCTGCCAAGAGATGGTCTACGGTGCCAGCTATAGTGCCATCATCCAAAAACCAGATGTTGAACTCGCTGTACAAGCTTTCGGTGATTTCTTTTAAGACTAAGCAGAAAAGAAGGGGAGCAAGAGGATCACCTTGCTGAACACCTTCACATGATCTGATTTCATGTTCACCAAAGAGCAATTTTGACTCACCACTGTAGCACGATAGTATGAACGGGTAGAGGGGCCGGAAATGGCGATGTACGGCACCAAGTATTGCATCTCTTCTGACCATGTTGAAGGCATTCTTAAAGCCCAGTTTGAGCAGGGCCTTTTCATCAGAAATGTTGGTGATGTATACTCGTGCTGCATGGGCAGCCGCTTCACAGCCTTGGGGGATTCCAAATCCTAGCTGGATTGGTTTCAGCAATTCAGCCGCTTGCTGGCTGACAACTCTCGTAGCAGCCTTGGCAATCAGGCGTCGGAGAGTGTTGCCAACAGCGATTGGCCTGATTCCTTAGTCCTTCTTTTTGAGAGCACAGAGGGAGGCACCAAAACAGAGAGGCCTGATGACCTCAGGTATATCACCAGCCAGACACATGTTGACGAACCTTGTGAGTTCCATAAAAAGATCTTGTGCAGCATCACCAACTGCAGGATTTATCATTTGCTTGATGTGTTGAGGTTTTAACCCTGTAAAGCCGCCTGCTGACCCAGGTGGAAAAGAAAGGGCTGCTTTGTAGACCTCAGATTCACCAACGGTTAATGGGTCTGAAATGGTGTCGGCTGATGGCGGAACGATGTTGTCGCCTTAAGGGGCTCTGGGTGGGTGCTTGCTTTGCAGGGCCCGTGCTGTGGCTGAGTTTCGAGGAGCAATTTTCTCGTCACTGGTGAGGACTCTAATAGCACTTGCGGTATTTCCCTCTTCAATTTTCTTGGTGATTTGTGCTCTGAGTTTGTACGTTTCCGGTATGTTGTTGTTACCATTTCTGCGGTGGATGTGTTTTGCTCGGAGAGGCAGGCGAACTAGGTTGTCCCCCCTTGGCTATTCATTTATCACCCTCAGTACCGAGGAAGCAAGTGATTTGTCCCTTCTTGGAGGGACGGTGAGGCATACATTGCCAAACAGAAGGACATTATGCCACGTTTGAATGTTTTCCGGGGCATTATTGACCCTTTTCAGAAGATTACAAAGTTTGGCTGCTGCATTTGGGCGGGCTGCTTCTGGGATGTGTGGTGATGTTCTAGCAGACGTCGCTATGATCGCTTGGGTGAGGTTTTCAGATGAGATTAAGTTAATGGGAGTCTCTTCCCTAACTATCAATGGCAGCTGGCCATTCTTTCCCTTTGGAAGCTGTTGAGAACCACTGCATCTCACCTCGTTAACGGTGTGAAAGCGGATGACACCACCGTTGGAGTTTATGGCGGTGTTTTTGTTGCATACTCGGCAAAAACCTCTTTTAGGAGTAATTGTTGGCACCTCAAGGCTTGTGGAGTCCTGCCCGACCGCTGGGACCCCTTCCATTTCAACTTGGTTGGGAGAGTTAAACTGTGCATTGTTCTATAGAGGGGGGCAAACACACTGGGTCATGGCCAAGCAACTGCCAACAACTGGGTGTGGAGGCATCAACTGGGTG